TTTTCTCAGTTCAGAGTTTAGTCTTCCGTTAGTCATACAGTAGTTCGCTTTAAGCAGTTACTCCAGTTTATCTTTATTTCGCAGTTGGGCAGTTTATATTCGTCCAGCAGTTTCGTAGAAATCGTAACAATGTAAGTATTGTCATTTTAAATTTGTTCAGTCCGTTCAGTGTATTTCTTTCCTATCACTTTTACTGGTCAATTGTTTTAATTTCGTATTCGTTTATTGTTTTTAGTTTCAACCCACATACCGTCAACATCATTCGTACCGAATAAATCGTCTTTATCATCGTGGTGTTGTGAGGTTACGATTACTGCAGTTGCACTATTTTCGCATGGATTTTCTATGTATATGGAAGTCATTTCCCACCTCACAATAACAATATTTAAACTCACAGCCCATTGCAGGGTTACCTAGCCCCTGCCAACCAGTACCCATGTTTACATCTGGAAAAGGTGAGGCACTGAGCTTACAGCATCTTGCCCGAGAACATAATACAATACTCCAACACCAAAACTGGACTAATGTCCAGTCCAGTGCACTAATCACTCAGCCACCATGCCTCCTCCTCTAATCCTTATGATTAAAGTGGGATGAATGGTGTCAACTGGGATTAGGGTGGAACCCTTATAACATTGCGTAACTAATAGCGACTTGAGGCAACTTAAGGCGACTTAAGGCGACTTTAGGCGACTTCAGGCGACTTAAGGCAACTTAAGGTCCCGGGGTAGGCCTTTCAAAAGGTGTTTCATTTGATCCTCATACAAAGCATCGATAATTTATGAACGAAAAGTTTTTAAGGCTTAATAGCTTCTGCTTAATTTGTAATCTGTATGTCCTTACTTCTCACCGAGAAAGGAAATGCGTACCTTATAAAATTCGTGAAACACATCAGCACGGATACCCTCGTTTATAATCTTCTTCACTTTTGGAACAGACATTGTCAATATCTCTGCTCGTTATGCTCGTCCTCTTTGGTCCGCGCAGACTTCTTAAAACTGGGTTTAAGTGCTCCTCCTTGACATTTTCCAACAGCTCTTGACATTGCTGCCTGGTCAGTCCATTGTTCTTAGTTTTCCACTCACTCAGCTTTTTTACCGTTTCTTTCTATTGCAAGACAACAAAATCTACAGCCATTACAAACAACAACGACGACAACAATAACAGCACGAAAACCTCAAGAACTTAGTGTTATACTTTATGCCCGAAGTCGAGATATAATGACAGAAACATCAGCTGGTGTAAATAGAGACCGATTGCGAACTCAATCTCCCTACCAGTAACATCTTAGGCATGGACTGGTTAACCAAGGTTAATTGATGGTGAGGCATTTATAGCTCCAAATACATCCAAAACTTGGATAGTAAAGCGAAACAAACAATAAGAAAAACAGAAACGAAAACAAAAACCAAAGGCTTAAAAAAAGGGTAGGCTGGGTAGAGTTGACCCAAACACATACACGAGCTTGTTTTCAACTTTTCTCACCATGAACTCCTCATGGTGATTCCAACAGTTTCTTCTTCAAATGTGAGAAAACTCTCATTGGCAGATGATTCATGGCTTGCAAGGATTTTCTCTGTTTCGTAGGGCAAGTTGTAGAATTTACCCTTCATTCTCCTATCATATACTAATAGCGCCTTATTCCTGGCCGTTCTGCTTTTGTTCTTTACGAAACCGTCCCAAGCCGTTTGCACATCAGGGATGTTGTCGGGATCGTTAATCGCATCGACATAAAACTTTTTCAATGCCGCTAACCCTGTGGAGCCAAATTACAATCATGAAGAGAATACTTGATTGCTTCTGTTTAAGAAGAATCCTCTGATCTGAGTTAGGTTACTTTTTCAGGATAATGAATGAGCGAAAATCGTGTACTGTTAGCTATTTCCGGTTCTAACAATGATTGATCATTAGAGTAGGTCGTTGTAGCTGATTTAAAATGAACAAATAGTGCAAGTAGATTTTGTGTGATTCATTTTGGTACAGCTAAACTCAACACGGACAGTGACCAATATTTCAATTTTCTAAGTTAAGTGAGATTGACAGACGTCACCGATGAGCATGTTAAATTTAAGATATGATCAGTTTACCTTCTCAGGTGATATATTCTCCCACGTTGAAGCTTTTCTTGGGACCAATGTTGGAGTGCAGCAATCCCTTCAACTACTCTATTCCTGGGAAGAAATCAGGATACATACGTGGACCATGCTTGTTACTTTTGATGTTTTTCAGTAGCTCTTTGTCGTAGGTGGGTATTGGCAAGCAAAAAGGATCCAATCCAAAATTCTGATATTTTTAGATGTGGACAGGCCAGCCTGTTTTCACTTCTTCTACTGTGCGCTTTACGCATTTTTTTAGCTCTAGTTTTTTGTTTGTTTGTTTGTTTTTTTGTTTGCTTGTGTGCTTGTTTTTACATTTGGAGAGGTAGAAGGCAGCGACATAGGTGATCAAGAGACTCTTGGGTCTGCCACAAAACCAGTATCAACCTCGTAGGAAACTTCTGTTCACAGCTATCGGGTTAAATCCATTAAATCCAATTGGGGGTTGACATATGTTTGAGGTGGCTTTGATCTACCCACCATTTATTTTCATCTTATCCTTTCTTTCTTTTCAATCCGTTGGTGCTCTCGTTGCGAAAGATTAGATCAATGTTGTTTTGTTAGGAAGATTGATAAGGTAATCATTAACCTTTTTGCATCGGAGAATAGAAAAGAATAAAATCTTCCACATCGAAAGACGAGCTATACATGATAAGGCCCGTTTAAACGGTTTCAACATTTGCTTCAACGTGTATTCAAAACTTTGTCGAAACAATTTTTGGTGCGTTTAAACAGGTCGTCCAACATTGATGAAAACGAAAAAAACGTTGAAAGCTTGTTGAAAGCATGTTGAATCAAGTTTAAATCGGTTTAAACTTTCATTCAACATCGATTCAACTTTTCTTTTGTTGTCGAAAATGTTGAATGGTGTTGAAGCCGTTTGCACACTCTGTCATGAAACAATTGAACACATGCATGCTCATATCGGGGTGCAAAAGTCAATATGGCATCTGGAGAGAGTCTATTTTCTAGTTCTTAGTTCCTCACAATTAAATTTCCCGCAAAATGTTGGTTCGTTTGTTTGCACAATGTTGAAAACCGTTTGAACGGCCCCCGCACAACTTTGTTTTTGCTTTCAACATGTGCCCAACATCCGTTCAACTTTTGTTGAACGAATGTTGGTCAAATGTTGAAACCGTGCAAATGGGCCTATAAATGTGATTCTAAATCGGGGGAAGTAATGGTGTGCTGGATGTGCTTTCATACATATTTGGGAATGATGTCAAGGGCATAATTTAGCTTAAGGCACTGTAACTTCTTCCACATTGTTGAGTTGTCGAATGAGGAGATTTTTGCATATTCCCATTTTTATGTAAGAGTCCTTCTGTCCTCTAAGTAGTTTGATAACGTAAGTTTATTTTCTAATGATGCATTAGTTAATGCATTGAATTCTCTGAGTGCTCCGCAAGGATTGGGATGATATAAACATTAAAGTCCTAGAGGTCAGTATTAGTTTTAAAAGTTTAGGAATTATGCAGATTACTCTCCCCCCTTAAGAAGTATAGAAACCAATCTTCAGAAAAAAAAAAACAGTTGAATGGACGAAACAATACGTAAAGCTTTTATATCGTGATAAAAACAATATGAAAATGTCATTCAGTTTGCTTTCCTAGAATTTTGTACTATAAAAAGAAAAACTCTTCATACCAAATTAACCTCCAGATATTGTAAAATACCAGCCATATTAAGAGCTCATATAGATTTCTTGTAATAGAATCATTCAATAATCACTGTTACGCTCCTCATGTTAAACAGCTTGTCAAAGATTGATTTCTATGACCACGAACTCAATCACATCACAACAAGAAGTCATTTCTTTTCTAAACACGAGTACATCTCTAAATGATCCCTGCCCCTTGTGCAGCCAAGTGTAACCATTACGGTGGCCAATTTACCATTTCAACTTTGTTGATATATCCAAGTGTAATCAATTTTATCGAAAGACTCACCTTATTCTCTAAGTTAACGAAGTCTCTAAGTTAACTAAGTCTCTAGGTTAAATAAAATCATCAGTTTTCATTTGAACTCGGTTTTCTGTATTTAAAGGCAAAACATGAGCCAAAGGCTTCTGTAGGAACCTATTTCGTTTGCCAAGTTGAGCTGTCAACAAACACATTGTTTAAACAGTAGCATGCTGTTTTTCAGAGAGAATTTTGTGTTTGTCTGCGCGTAAACGTTTACGTGTCTGCTAATAATTTTCGTTGGAGCTTGTTACCACCTGATGTTACGAGGATATAACCAAGAATCGCAAAGAACACACGAGACATCCTGCTATCACGTTTTCACATGTAATAATTCTGAGCCTTAGACCTCTCTTGTTAGGGACAATTTTGAAGATGCAAAAGAGTCTATTCAAATGTAAACATTTTATATAATTACGACTTTCTAGGAAAGAAAGGTCAACCATAAAACAGCCGCAAACAATCAAAGGTTATCATTTACAATTCTCACTCCGAAAGAGCATCTCAAGCCTTTTTCGTCGAGAACACTGGTAAGATTATTTCGAACCTTCGTCATATCAAGACTCCAATAGGATAGAATATCAATAATATAGCCTATGAATGTATTTTAGCTGCTTGTTGACGCTTCCAAGCACGATTAACATTTCAAAATGTGCTTTTCATCGGAAAGTCAGGACTCGCAAAACATAGTCAAAGTTGGCATAAGTCCTCTGAGCCCATGCTTTGTAGTATAATTTGCTTGTGACGTTCGAGTAAAAATTTCCCAAATTCAGGTCGCTCAACGGGAGAACCAAGGATGCTTATTGAAATGAGGTGGGCGCCAGAGGGAGCCTACACCCTTTAAAGTCTCAACTTCGTGTCCTACCTTGGAGACTTAGGAATGCGTCACAATGAATGTGCTTTATGAGGTGTTCGAAGAGATGTTTTAGTTGTTTTTCTTTATGGTGGCCATCAACTTTTTCACTGTACGTACAAATGCTTTTGCTTTTACCCTAAAGTTCAATTAATTGGTAAAATCGATTATATTTGTGCCAAGTTTCTTTTATTGAACGAGAACTCTATGAGTGCCTTCAAGTGGTTTGAACGACAGAGGGAACCTAAGTATCCTTATTTTCGTTTTCTTCAACTTGCTTATCTGTGACAAATGGGCGATTGATCGAACTGATGAAGAAAGAATAGATAACTAGCTTCTCGCCAAAGTATTCTGTACTTAAAATCGACACCAGAGCGAGTCCAAAGGCTTCAGACATAGCATTTGGCCTCAGAGTAAGCAACGCAACTAGCCTGGTACAAATTAAACAACTGATTGAATAATTTGTCAAAATCAAAGAATAACAACTCTGAGACTGTTCTCCACGCCAAAGGAGAAGAGAATAGAATATGAACGGAAAGAAGCATTGCCAAAAAACTCGGCAGACGAAAATACTGACCAACCGATCATTTTTCCTGGCTGTGAGATCCTTGATCCCTTCGCCAGAGAAATACCACTCAAATTAAACCTTTCGTTCAAATTTTTTCACTTTTCTGTATGGGGCAAGTGTCTGGACTGGAAATGAATACACTGAAGATGACTGTCAATTCAGCATGATGGCGCATAGTTAAATCATAGACCAGCGTTCACACTTATCGTCTCACATCGTCCCGTGACATTTTAAAACGGAACAGAGGTAAATCTTCGAAGATTAAAAAAATCGTCGTTGGAAGTAAACAATACCTTTCGTAAGATCTCTGAGTGTTTTCTGACAAGATCGTCGTATAGTCATTTAACCTGTGTGTGTTTGTCATACCAGTACTGTTGTCTATTCAAAGGCATACAGGCGGTTTTTTCTTCTTCAATTGACAGGTGTCTCATCGTGACAGTTACTTATCAAAAAATGTTTCAAAGTTTGCTTGGAAGCCTTTTAAGTCACATTCGTAAATAAAAATTGTCGGTGAAAGCTTACTCTTTAATTTAAATAACGTCTATTTTCGTTATCATCCACTCCCTAAAAAAATGTTAAGTTTGTGGAGGATATTCCCTTAATTAAGAACAAGTCTCTGTAGAATGAAACATCTTGGGAAACGAAAATTTTCAACCCCCCTTCACATTTTGCATGCAGTTAGGCACTCAGAGGGAATACACAAAAATGCCCTTTTTAAAAGTTGCAGCACTCTTGTTGCCATGGTAAAAACGACTGCTTCTTCAACCCCTGGGGCCTCATTTTCATACAAAAAAAAAACAACGCAAAAGAAGTATAAAATGTTTACTTCTCTATCTCAAGCTCAATACAACATTAAAAATTGGTACCTCTACCATATATAGTGACATCACTTGCCTTCACTTTGATGCATGCAGTTTTCCCTGGGAGTAAATGTGAACGCACCCATAGATTATCTATCTCGGTACAGTTTCGGTCATTTTGTTGGAGGATGAAACAAAGAAAACGTTTAGGTGAATTTCTCCAAAAGTGCACCGCTTCTGGAACTAAAATTACCCTCCTAGTTGATTATAATACTCTACTTTTCAAATATGTAAAAATCTATGCGGGCCGGCCCCCTTCTTTCCATAGGGGCAATTCGCGAACGAACTCCTAAAAAAACAGATATTCCATAATTAGGCGATGGTTACATTTAATATTCTCAACAACAAAGGTTTCAGACAAATGAAACGCGCGAGGCTTTGAAAGAGTGTTATCTTATGAGCAATATCCCGAAGAGAAATCTCGCCTCTGGCTGTTATCTTTTATAAAAATTGATCAGCCCCTATGGAGGACCTCTCGACGTAACTACAAACATGTACCTCAAATCGCTTGCATATCATCCAGATTCCGAGTGCTACACCTTCTTTCACGGGAATTTGAGCAATCCGAAATCCTCTGAAGATACACTATTTTACTTGTATGTCATTGGAAACAGGTTAAAGTCGGCTGATCTACGCCAAACTATCCTATCATTGGTCATTCGTCATAAACTTTTACGTTATTACGATGGCGTGACGCTGTATTTCTTCACGAGGTTTCCATCGGTTGCTCCAAAGAAGACGAGAAATGGGCATATTTCGATATTTCAGCAGATTTCCGCGCATTCTGAAATAAAAACAACCAAGAAAAGGAAATCCTTGGTTGAACGCTCGTAAACACTGAGACTGTCTGAGGAATCTAAGGGTATAAATCGTAACTTTTCAGCGGTAGTACTTCATTTAAAACCCGGCCAGTTTGCAACAACAACAATTTGTACGACATATGCATCTCCTTACAAAGACAGGAACGGAGAAATTTTGAATCATCTGAAAACTGTGAGAAAACTGCATAAGATATTATGAGGGGAGACTTATCAACGTCGCAGCGCAATTAAGTCAATCATTGTTTCTTCCCATGTCTTTACAAAGAAAAAACCATAACAAAGCTCGAAATAAAATATCTATTGAAATCATTATGTCCTGATTCCACCTTTTAAACCACTCATTATCCACAAGCAAATTGCAACTCGTCACTGGAACGAAGCTGCCCATAGTTAATATGTAATCTGGATTGCCTCAGGTCCTTCAGAAAAAAGAACAGTGACTTCATCACAATATTTTTTCATAATTTTCTTTTACAAACTTAAAGAAAGATGATTATGACGCGATCTCCCGATGATTTACACGAGAGGAAATCAAAGGTCTCGTTAATTTCTCCCTGAGGTGGCTGGCTCATCAGGAAGAAAAAGGAGATCCCTCAATCCAATAGCGCCAGTCTGTGCAGATTATCAAGCTTGTAACTAAGAAAATTTTGCCTGTTGATTCATCAGTGAAAGCATTAGTTATTTTAAATCTGTACTCCTCGGACTAAGCCACGCCAAAAGAAGAACCTTTGTAATTTTGTAGGCACTCACTATAGCATTCTATTATCAAGGGAAATAAATCTCAGGGCTTAAAGCCAAAATAATGTTCGAGCATGTAAAAGACTCCCTGAAAAAAGCTTAATTTTTGGAAAATGATTGTGACGAAATCTCTGTTGTATTTGCTATACTGCGGGGAATACTGAATTGCTCCAAATCTCCACTTTGTGGTGGTTTTCGTGCGAGTCGTGTGAATTACCATGGTTGATTGTTAGAACTGGATTTTACTACCGCTGAAAAGTTACGATTTACATCCTCAGACTCCTAAGACAGTCTCAGTGTTTACGAGCGTTCGATTAAGGATTTCCTTTTGTGTTTGGTTGTTTTTACTTTCGAATGCGCGGAAATCTGCTTAAATATCGAAAAATGACTATTTCTTGTCTTCTTTGGAGCAACCGATGGAAACTTCGTGGAGAAATACAGCGTCACGCCATCGTGCTAACGTACACGTTTACGACAAATGACCGGTTATAGAATAGTTTCGTGTGGATCAGCCGACTTTAAGATGTTTTCAATGACATACAAGTATATTAGTGTATCTTCAGAGGATTTCGCATTGCTCAATTCTCCGTGAAAGAAGGTGTAGCACTCGGAATCTGGATGATATGCACGCGATTTGTGGTACATGTTTGTAGTTACGTCGAGTGGTCCTCCATAGGGGCTGATCACCTTTTTTAAAGATAACAGCCAGAGGCGAGATTTCTCTTCGGAATATTGCTCATAAGATAACATTCTTTCAAAGCCTCGCGCGTTTCATTTGTCTGAAACCTTTGTTGTTGAGAACATTAAATATAAACATCGCCTAATTATGCAATGTCTGAGTTTTTAGGAGTTCGTTCGCAAATTGCCCATATGGAAAGAAGGGGCCGGCCCGCAGAGATTTTTACATATTTGAAAACTAGAGTATTATAACCAACTAGGAGGGTAATCTCAGTTCCAGAAGCGATGGACTTTTGGAGAAATTCAGCTAAACGTTTTCCTTGTTTTATCCTACCACAGAAATGACCGAATCTGTACCAAGATAAATAATCTATGGGTGTGTTCACATTCACTCCCAAGGAAAATTGCATGCATTTAAGGGAAGGCAAATGATGTCACTATGTATGGTAGAGGTACCAATTTTTAATGTTGTATTGAGCTTGAGATACAGAAATAAACATTTTACACTTTTTTGTAATGTTTTTGTACGAAAACGAGGCCCCAGGCCTCAAACAAGCAGCCGTTGTTACCATAGTAACAATAGTGCTGCAACCTTTAAAAGGGGCATTTTTGTTTATTCCCTCTGAGTGCCTAACTGTATGCAAAATTTGAAGGGGGTTGAAAATGTTCGTTTCCCAAGATGTTTGATTCTTGCTGAGACTTGTTCTTAAAGTCATTCCGGTTCTTTTGGCAATCATTTTGTCAAGTGTTAGAAAAAAAAAATAAGAATGTTATTCACCAGCATAGGTCAGTCCGTATTGGAAAAAACTGTGCCCTCTGTCTTGAGTAGCGCCCGAGGCCTACTGCCTTAGGCGGTATCCAAGACCTCAGGCAGAGTTTTTTCCCAATACTAACCTTTTCTCTGGTGGGTAACATATATTTATTGCGTGATTGCCAGTTTTGTCTTTTAATTAATACATTTTGTGCCTCATGGCTCTAAAAGTCAGTAAGTCCTTATAGCCTGGACCAAGACGTTCAAACACTTGACTAGATGTCAGAAACGTCAAACACTGACCTCACAACAGCGTACTAGGTAAAGGATTTTAGAAATTTACGCAGTGCTAGTAAGGTATCATTGCGATCTGCTCAACAAAAACCTGATTTCATGCAATTTTTTTCCGTTTTACGACAAAGCCCTCCCTCTGGCGCATGGGAGAAGAGGCAAAGGGCACGCAAGTAGAAGTTCAGTATTATAAATTCGCGATTAGGCTAGGGCTTCGAGCTAAATTATAGTACAAATTATATATCTCATTCAATGATTCTTATGATATGTAACGGTCATTTCAGTGCAGCACGATCACACTAAAGCAATTATCATTATTATTATCATTAGTTAGAATTTTTATGACAAAGTGCCAATGAAGGATGATGCAATTAGATTTGCATTAGACTGTTATTGTTTCTATTCCATTTGCCGGCTACTTTTAATTTGTTCATATTATTTACAGTTCAGCGTTGATTGCTCACAAATAGACATTTACCTCTTGAAGGCATCATGAATGTAAGTATAATGAGTTAGAATGAAATGACGTTTACGTCACAATTCACAATTTTGAAGTCTTTCTGCTTGCTTCTCCTCAGTATGCTTAAGGAACATACCCAAAGAACGTTAAGTACACTCTATATGAACGGCAAATATGTCATGTTCCTTTTCATTTGGTGGTTTTTTTTTTCTTTTGGTCGACTAGCGTCAGCAAAAACGCAAAGCCATGCCACTGTGCCTCCCTAACAACTTGGAGTATGATCCAAAAACGGGTTTGCTGCATGAAACTGGAGAAGTGCGTGATAAATTGTACATTGTTGATGAAGCAGTTGAGCAGTTGAGAAAAATCAAAGGTAAGCCTTATTCAAACCACCTCAACTTATCTAGCAACACTCTCAACAGCCTCTTGATTTTTATCTCTCTCTTGTTACTACTTGCCAGACACAACTCTCTCTTATGCGTACCGTTATCGAAATCCTTATATTCTTACTCATTTTTCTTTCAAATTCTTCTTTTTTCGAACGTCATTTCCTTTTCCATTCCTTTCTCAGTACTTAATGTTCTATTTCTTCTCTTCTCTCATTTTCTTCTTCTTCTTCTTCTTCTTCTTCTCCTTCTTCTTCTTCTTCTTCTTCTTCTCCTTCTCCTTCTTCTTCTTCTTCTTCTTCTTCTTCTCCTTCTTCTTCTTCTTCTTCTTCTTCTTCTTCTCCTTCTTCTTCTACTTGTCCTTATTAATTATTCTATCTTTTACAAGAAGCATAGATTGTTTTTGTACACTTTTGTCCCTTTGTAGAGCCTGTCAGTGTTGTGTCAATAGTTGGCCCATGCAGGGATGGTAAATCCTTCATTCTAAGTGAAGCATTTGGCCAGTCACAAATTTTTCCGGTGGGATTTAAAATGGATCCTGAGACGATGGGGATCTGGATTTGGATTTTACCCCATACAATTAAGGTACAGAAATGTAGTCGTGGACTTTGTGAGAGTGTATGTATTACAAGACGCCTTAAAATTCTTTCTTGTTCAAAACTGAGTCTCTTAATGACTGATAATTATTCAAACCCTGCAATTAGAGGTGAAACTTCCATAAATAGTTGGTTTTATATGAAAATTCATATTAACTGAGTTTAAAATTTGAAGATGTAGAGAAGTGAGTGTCCACTAGAAAAAACCAAGCAGAGGGTGGTAATGCTCAAATCGCCGATTTGGCTCATACCTAGTAAAGATGCTGGATATTACGATTTAACAAATGTGCAAACATAACAGGCTAAAATATTGAATTCCTTAGAGATATGAGGTACCCCGGGAAAACCACAAATTTTTGCTTATTTTGCCTTTCCCCCAAACCAAAGAAACAAGTGATTAACGGATCTGGTGCACTGTTTATACAATTCATTATCGCCATACAAATGATGCCAAGCGTGTAGTTGTGGAAAAAAGTTCCTAGGAATGTGCCAAGGTGCACTTTCCAGGATTCTTCGTTCGATCAAGCGTAAATGATACTCTTTGAGAAGTGGCTTCACAAATATTGATGAAACAGACGAAAGTGATCAATCAGATGTATAATCCACATGAGCACAGATAATGAAATCAGTTGCCCAAAATTCAAATTATGTTTTCAAACCTTTTAAGTTATTTGAATAATATTAAGAGCAAATGTGCACAAAAATCAAACATTTTCAAAATATGGTGGCAACAGCTAAAAAGTCGATTCGGCTCATATTCTCAAGTTAGGTTGGCCTAAAAGTGAAACAAACCGCTGCATACTTTGTTTGGCTGAATATCGATTTACTTTCGAGAAAATCGATATCAACTGAATTCCGCCAAAATGTGGCTTTTGAGGCTCAAAATTTCGGACGCATCTCGGAGCGTCGCGTCACAAAATGAAAACACCTGGATTGATAAAAAGTACCAGATCTTAAAAAACAACATCAAAACATATGTTATTGCAATTCGAGCAATTCTTGACCATTTATTTACACAATCTAATTGAATCTATCCGACCTACTTCCAACTAGATTAAAAATAGGTCAAAAGTATCCCGTGATTTAATTATGTGCTATACAAAATAGTTAACCGAAAATCTGGGTTTCGGAAGGCGGAAGGTAGTTCTTTTGGATCTCCGAAGGATTTTTTTGGGGAAATGATTCGGGGCGATTTAATCAAATTTTAAAGTTGGATAAAATGCGCCGATTCGCGGTGTCTTCAATTAGTCGAAAATGTACACATACTCACGCAAACTCAGTTTTTTCGCATTTTACGTTCAATCTACTGCTTATTTAACATAATATGCTCACACCTCCCATGTTTCTGAGGATTGCAGTCCTGAAATTGTTGCATCTTCCTCACTATAGCGATATTACTCGGAAGGATAGTCAACACCTCCGAATAATGATTGTTCACAAAGCGTATCTCGGGGTTTCAGTTTGATTTGAAGTTTCTCTATTCTCGATTTCGTTGAAAAAGAAGCTGTAATTACCTCACGTAATAGATGTTTGCTTAAATTTTAGTCTTTAACCGAACCAAGAACCAAATGTAAGCGGAACTTTGCTGGTTCAGAAACGTGTTTCTCATGGGCGCAACAACCTTAATTAATTCAAAATGAGATCTACTGAAATCGACAACTTCGCAAAAACAGAACATTGTACTGTGAAACACGTGACTTCAGGAACTTAGGTCTTGTCTTAAATATACGAAACATTTCGCGATTAAATGTATCATAATTAAAATGTATCATGGTATTTTATCATGGTCATTTATCATGGTATGACAAATGCAGCATTTGTGAAATCGCGTGGCAGTCCAATTTGTCAAAGTATTCCGTTGGGAAGCTACAGGAGATCTGTACAGCGCTAGAACTAGACGTTTCTCCAATAACCAGCGAGCGGAAGCAGCCCCATAGAGATATTTGCAACAATTGGTTGAAAATTGTGGTTGTTAAAGTATGGATTAAATATCTAATGCAAACCTTGAACTCCCTGCCTGCGAAAAGACCCGCCCCCTGTCAGCAAATCTAAAGGATTACTGACGTACCTTGCTGATCCGCTATAGCTAAACAGGGAATTGTTGTTTGGGCCGTCTATAAGAAGAAGTCATTTACTTCTTATATTTAATCAACTTGGAAGGACAGATTAAGCACAACATGGGTTTGTTTACTTTTTTATTGCAAGCAAAATGTAGATACAATGAAATATATGAAGTTCATATATTTTGTTCTGCGGTATTAGATACTTATGATGCACGATCCTCGCAGTAGATAGCGCTATTTAAGTAATAGCGAAAATCAGACCTGAAAAAATCAGGCCTGTACGGGATTCGAACCACTGACCTCTGCGATACCAGTGTAGCGCTCTACCAATTGAGCTAACAGTTGGCTTGTTAGCTCAATTGGTAGAGCGCTGCATTAGTATCGCAGAGGTCAGTGGTTCGAATCCCGTACAGGCCTGATTTTTTCAGGTCTGATTTTCGCTATTACTTAAATAGCGCTATCTACTGCGAGGATCGTGCATCATATACAAAATGTAGATGTTAGCTCTACACAATGGGCGTGAAAATTCTGTTCTGATCAGACAACTGGCCTATAATGTGTCTTTATTACACATAACACGAGAATTTTATTACATACAGCTCATTTGTAGAAAAGTATACGCTTTATTTTCACATGTGAAAAAAGCCTATACAGCCAATCAGAATGGCGGACAGCTCTTTCACGCGTCGAAGTATAACCAATCGAATTGCTCTAAAGAATTACACGGGCGCTCGCTTGCTCGACCGTGCTCGCAAAATTTTTGCAACTGCTCGCATGCTCGTATTCTCAATTTAAAAGCGCTCGCAAACTTTGGCCTTTGCTCGAATTGCTTTATTGATACTTAGATTAAAAAAAAAAAAACTTTTGTAAGTGCAGTTCTCCGTTCAGCACTTTAGTCCCTGGACGTACATGTACTGCGATATTTTCCATTGCCATTAAATTTGCATTGTTAGTGAGTTTTTGTTTCAATTTGCGTTCAGAAAATTATTTCAATGAAAACTCTCGTGTTATGTGCAATAAACACCTCACGACATAGAAAGTGCTTTGTACGGGGTTTTATTCACTCGTTGTTTGTTGCAAAAGCCCCCACTCGCTCGTACCTCACTCGTTCGGGTTTTTTGACACAAACAAATTGTGAATAAAACCCCGTAAGCCGCACTTTCTATGACGTAAACTATATTTATGCATCATCTACACTTTTGCTGGCTTTAAGTCTAAACTTAAGACACATTTATTTCACATTGCTGCGTTTTGATAGCCTGCCTAATATTAATTACTTTATTTTATTTTATATGTTAATTATTCTGTATATTGTGATCCTAACCTTTTTATTATTGTTCTCTTAGTTTTAAATTATTTAAATAGTGATATGTTGTAATGCGCATTTGAGCATATCCAGATGGAATTTGCGCGCTACAAATGCTGTATTATTATCATTATCATTATTATCATTATTATTATTATTATATTATTATTATTATTATTATTATATATCCCCATTTAATTCATTGATAGTTTTGAACCCGACTGTATTTGAGGGGAATAAATGACTTCTTACTTCGCCAGCTTCTTCGACAAGAGTACCAAATAACTTACTAGTTGGGTTGATTCTTTCAAAGCCACTATTTCAAATATCAAAATTCAAATCAAAATTGTGGATTTATATTGCGCCGTTTCCATGACGGGATGATCAACTGCGCATTACAACAATGCATGGAATAAATACTAATTACATCATTACAACAATGCTTTGTAATAGATGCCAGTTACATCAGGTGTAGTATAAAATATTAAAAGCTAAGCTAACTAAGAATAAAAATCCTTACTAAAAAAATGCGTCTTTAAGAGTTTTTTAAAAGTGTCGACAGATTTAGCCATTCTAATTTCCGAAGGTAAATATACAGTATCGGTACAATTAATTAACGCTCGGCGAACATGTATTTTACTTTAAGCCCTTATGCATACCGACCCGCACTCGAGTCTGCTATATCAGCTGGTGCAGTGAATACTCGAGGCTTTTCTTGAGTTTCGAGATACGCTTTTGGACCGCTGTCAGTATTAGATGAAAGTGAATATGAGAACGCACTACTTGGGTCGTAGTCTTGCTAGCGGCACGAGTAACTTAACAAGGCATAGTAGGCTCTGGAAAGAAGTAATGCAAATATAAATCTGTTAAACGTTGGCTAGTACAAAATTTTCAGTAAAGGTTGCGGTTTCCCAGTTTTAACTCTAATACAGCTTCTTTGAAATAAACAAGTATTCCAACACTGCATTTTTCTCTAACGGCGCATCTGAAGTGATGGGCTATGCCATTTGCAGATCTTTCGCTCTTTTTGACCTAATATGAGCTTTATCCACCTAAAACAATGATTTAAAAAATACCATGATACATTTGATTCTGATACATTTTTAAAATCACGTAAGAGGTTAGATGATTTTTTTTACTCCTGTTTCATATATTTAAAACAAGACCTAAGTTCCTAAAGCCACGTGTTTCACAGGACAATGTTTTGTTTTTGCGAAGTTGTCGATTTCAGTAGATGTCATTTTGAATTAATTAGCGTTGTTCCGCCCATGAGAAACTCGTTTCTGAACCAGCAAAGTTCCGCTTACAGTTGGTTTGATTAACCACTAGAATTTAAGCAAAGATTTCTTACGTGAAGTAATTACAGCCTCTTTTTCAACGAAATCGGGAATAGAGAAACTTCAAATCAAAAACCCGAGATACGCTTTGTGAACAATCATTATTCGGAGGTGTTGACTATCCTTCCGAGTAATATCGCTATAGTGAGGAAGATGCAACAATTTTAGGACTGCAATCCTCAGAAACATGGAAGGTAAGAGCATATTATGTTAAATAAGCAGTAGATTGAACGTAAAATGCGAAAAAACTGAGTTTGCGTGAGTATGTGTACATTTTCGACTAATTGGAGACACCGCGAATCGGCGCATTTTATCCAACTTTAAAATTTGATTAAATCGCCCCGAATCATTTCCCCAAAAAAATCCTTCGGAGATCCAAAAGAACTACCTTCCGCCTTCCGAAACCCAGATTTTCGGTTAATTATTTTGTATAGCACATAGTTAAATCGCGGGCTAATTTTAACCTATTTTTAATCTAGTTGGAAGTGGGTCGGATAGATTCAATTAGATTGTGTAAATAAATGGTCAAGAATTGCTCGAATTGCAATAACATATGTTTTGATGTTGTTTTTCAAGATTTGGTACTTTTTATCAATCCAGGTGTTTTCATTTTGTGACGCGACGCTCCGAGATGCGTCCGAAATTTTGAGCCTCATGAGCCACATTTTGGCGGAATTCAGTTGATATCGATTTTCTCGAAAATAAATCGATATCCAGCCAAACGAAGTATCCAGTGGTTTATTTCCCATTGAGACCTACTTCACTTTGAAATATGGGCGAAATTGATTTTTTAGCTGTTGCCACCAAATGTTTGATCATTGGTAACATTCGCTCTTAAAGGTCAAAATTATTTAAATACCGAGAATGAATTTTAATGATCTAATATTCTACTAAAAATTCCCTTTTCAACATAAAAACTAATGAGAAATTTTTTTTCTGTCTTTCTAAGGATCCTAGTGGTCGTGATGTAAAGGTTGTCTTGCTGGACACAGAAGGAACTAATTTCACAGGAGCAAAAGAACAAACTGATAATCAAATCTTCATTTTGACAGTTTTAATGGCATCTGTGTTGATTTACAATTCCAAGGGAGTTCCTAAAAGAAATGAACTAAATGAACTGGAGTATCCTTGAATGACAGTCAACAAATCAATATCATATATTTAAACTCTGGATTAGCAAATGAAGATAACATTGATCCTCGTAGTTATAAACAATTCTTAAGCAGCTGTGAAAATAAAGCCTGCCAACTGAGCACTAGTGTCGCAGAGGTCATGGGTTCAACTCCCCCACAAGCCCGAAATTTTTTTAGGCTTTATTTTCATTACTGCTCACAGTGTAAGTAATTTCCATAATTGTGAGATCAGCTCTCATCTTCAATTGCAAAAAATAGCAACTATATTTCAGGACGTACCTTTTGTTAGTCGGTTCGAATTCAGTTTTAGTAAATTAAGAAATTGAGCCTCTACAGCCCTTAAGAAGTTATTAGCTACATAGCAAGACTGTCGCAGCAAATTCAGGCTAGATCAGATATTGGAACCAAGCGCCCAATCAGAAATGAAGACGCCTTCCATCAAACTTTCCCATATTTTATTTGGCTCCTGAGAGACAACATGAATGAGTTACCGAACGACTGCAAGAACATCAAGGAATATTTCTTGACAAGGGTAAGGGTTTTCAAATCATTTTCGTGTTACTCTACCATGAGAGCCCCTACCGAAGGAGAAGCGAAATGGATCTACTTGTAAAGAAAAGCTAATGTTATTTGTAGATGCCGTTGAATAGCTCAATCGAGAAACTTGAATCTACTCTTTGTATCATGCGTTTAGAAAACAGAAACTACAGTGATCGTCCGCGTAAGTGTAATCCTAAGAAGACTGGTCTCGGTAGTTGTGACTGACGTTTTGATAACCTGAGCGGAAGTCATTATGAATTTTATGCAAACGTGCCTTTTTTGAACGAATTGATAGGGTATGTAAACTTCAAGGATTGCCTTGAGTTTTGGTCTGAAGACTCCCAAGATACCAACCTAAAAACCTATACGGGGAACTTCCGTTTTTCAAAATGGATCTCCCGCAATGGCCCACGATGTAATGCGTATCGGTAAAATTCTGGTCAGCTAACTTGACAGATAAATTGCAAAGCCACCGATAAGAACATCGAAAGTCTCCCCCGATGGTTAGATTTCCTGCTCGTATGAGAATTGGAAATTTTAAATAATCCCGTATATTTTCATGCTGTTTTCGCCACTGTTCCTAAATAGCCATTTACTGTCATTTTTAAACCGTTAAACAAAAAGCCTGTTTTTACCAAGTTTATCCGCATTTATTTTAATACGACGGCAATAGTTATTTTAAGCTCTTGTCGATTTCTCTATGTACTTGGATGACTAACGTCCTGATTATAATTATTCAATCTATTTATTTTAAAATTTACTTTGACAAACAACATGGTTTCATCCTCATCATTAATATATTTTCAAACTTTTTAGGTTTTCAAAGGTGAGGAGGCAACGAAAAATGATCAAAACCATCGTGTTGCGGAAAGTATTCTGCACTATTTTTCGGGCTTTGATGTTTTTAGTTTACCAATACCGACTTACGATAAGGAGCTTATGAAAGACGTCAAGGGAAATATGGATAAAATGAATCCCCAGTTCTTCACTGGGGTAAAGCAATTTGAAGAATTACTAAGGTCCATCATGGGTCCAAAGAGGAGCTGCAAGGAGGGAGAGTACGTCACTGGGGAAGGTATTTAAATCTTATCCAGCTATTAAGAAAATCGAACATTGATTCTTATGTCTCCTATAGGTTGAAGATGTAATTAGTGGCAAAGGTGAGGTCTTTTGAATACGCAAGGAAAAATTGGAGTTTAAATCACTAACTCTAGTTAGCGAACAAAAAGCAGTTTCCCTATTCAGTTATTTCACCTTTTCTTTTACTTTCTTTTTTTCTTCTTCTTTATTTCCCTAACCAGGTCTAGCAGCCTTAACAACGCTTTACGTCGAAGCTATCAACGATCCTCATAACGTTCCGAACGTGCAAACAGCTTGGGAAACGTTTGTGAACATAAAGTGCGAGGGGGCCAAAAAAAAAGCAATCACGGCTTATGAAAAAAAGGCGAAGGAAGAACTATCTAAGCTCCCTTGTGATGATGAAGAAATCTTGAGGGGAAATGATTCCGCAACGCACGAGATGATGGCCACGTTCGAACAAGAAACCCATGGCATTTCCATTGACCACACCAAGCCGTATTTGGAAGAGTTAACGGTGAGAGCACGAGTAAATTCTTTTTGGTTTGCCTTTCTCTTAGAAACACGTAGTTTAAGGTATCGTGAGTGATCGTTCAGACATCTTTAATTTATTAAATCATGAGGTGTATTTCCATCTTTCCTGCATTTTCCTGTTAATTATCTTTACATTTTACGTTAGGAAAATATGCTCTTTAACGGGAGGTATTCATCAAAACTGTGCCCAAGGTCTTGAGGCCCTCCGGGCCGACCAAAGCCAAAAAGTGACGTACTAGTTATTCGATTAATTTCATTATATACAAATTTTATGATCAAAATCATGTCATTAAAGGTAACTATGTGAACTCTACATACTACTTTCACCTCAAAAAGTCATCGCGAAGAGAAGTTTGCAAATACCAACCACTAAATCATGTATTCAAGAACATCAGCTTCGTGAAAAAAGAAAGACTGAAAAATTTTAGATCTCTCTTCGACTAGCAAAGACGATATTCTGCATTTCGTCAAGACCTTTTTTCTGACAAAACGAAGAACATCTTTCCTAATCTATTTGCTTACACGAAGCTTCTGACATCGCTGATCCTAGAAATTTGTAGGACATTTTAGGCATCTAAATGTAGTTTATGGCCTAGCTTATCAAACAGTTCTCTTCACGTAGTTCATAAAGTAGTATCAAACCAGCAAATTCGAACGTCCAGGAACGGGGCAGGGGACTTCCTTTTTAACTCGTGAACTGTGCGCATGCGCAAGAGCGAGTTGTAGGTATGGAGTGATGAATGGCGCTCGCTCGCTCGATTGGTCGATTCCTGTAAATGTTTTTTTTAATTCAGGCTTTTGAACGCATTTGATAGTTTTTGCGAGTGATAAACAAACGAAATGGCGACCTCTGTTGCTAAGAATACTGTTGGGGTGAAAAAGAAGCCGATGATAATCTTGAAAGATTAAAAAAGCATACGTTTTTCATTTGTGAATTAATTAAAGTTTGCCCAATCTCCGAATACACTTTTATCTCTTACAGCGTATATTTCATTTATGGCGTCAATACTTCTATTTTTAAATGTATATATCCAGGAAAATGATTATTGTGTCCAAAAAAGAAAAGAAAGAAAGCAAAGAAAGGAAGTTAAGCAAAACGCAGAATTTACTCGCGTACGGCGGATTTGAACCAGTTACGTCGTCGCTACCCTGCGATCGTCATCTACCGCCTGCTTCTTACCGTAAGGCGACCGAAGCTTCTTGAAAAATTGTCATGAAACTTTATATAATTATAAATTTTACATTTAAAATGCTGATCTTTTGGTAATTTCAACCGCGGGCTCAAACCACTCGAGTCGCTGCTCGCCGATAGTCCGATATTGAGGTATCGTTCACGGCCAACTGCTCGTAAAGTGACTTGCTTGAGGTTTATTTGGTATTCCTGGAGCTGTATCGACGTTGGAAAGTGGTTCACAAGTGGGAACTGCATTGAAAGAAGCTCAAGCATAAGTTCAATCAATCGATACGCTGTTTCTTCAATGGTGTAACTCGCACTGTGTATGCGTATGTTATTAATGCACTGTTAAGTTTGTATGTTTCCAGATACCTTGAATTAAGGATTTCTTTCTTAAAAATGCGTCCTGGAGTGAGGAACAGGAAGTTCTAAAGATGGGGATTGATATCACTCAAAATAAGTGTAATTATCAGTTCTCAAAACAAGGAATGTGCACTGACAGTGAGTGACAAATACTGCCTAAAACTGATAGCAGAGTCCTTACTTTAAGGTGACTGAAGTTTCTCATAGTAAGACCTATTTTTTTCAAAATGAGTAAGTAAAGATCTCAAAAGAGAGCACTTACTGCA